AACTGATTAATGCTAAATTCATTAAATCACAGAAAAACATATTAGTTTTAGTTATAAATAAAGACCCGTTGATTATTCCTTGCTGACCGTGCAAACAGAAGAAATAAAAAAAAAAAAGGAAAGAAAAAAAAAAAAGGGTGAATCACTGAGTTTCCTACCTTCAAATTCAAAGCTTCCCAGCGTGCGCAGGGCCAGGGTGATGCTGCCCACATCGCTGGCCTCAGGAATGTTTGTGAGGCTGGGGGAGGCCAGCTGGTGAGCCAGACCTTTGGGCATCCCAGGGTGACGCAGAGGCTTGTGCATTAGCACCAGGGAGAGCATTTTCAGCAAACCATCCTGGATATCTTTCTTCAACTGAGGGATTTGACGGCTCAGGTCATACAGCACTGCGGTAAGTGCCGGACTAAACCACCGAAAACAGAGAAACAAACGTCACAGAGATTTATAGGACTGTGTTCTATAGGCTTAAATCCAAACATAACTTCCCATCTCTGTTTCCTACCTGAGGCCCACAGCCAACATGGGCTCCAGAAGCTCCTTGATGTCAGGCTGGATGCTGGGCCCCATGGCCCTGGAGAGCATGCTGATACATGTAAACACTGTAGCGTCCACCTGTATGGTCTTCTGCCTCCTGCACCAAAAGATATCACCATTACTAAAGTTTTTCAGCTTCTGTTTTACAAACCAGCCCTTTCAATAAAAAAAATCCATTGTTTGTTTAATAAGCATATGTAGTTTTGTTCTTTTTTAGGAGATAATTGAGGACAAAAAAAACATTTATTTAAACTTATAGTGCATTTATTAACAATCTTGATACAGATTTAAGCACAAAATAGCGTAAACTTGATTAGCGAACGTACCATAAATAGATAGCGATGCCAACATGAGAGCAGGATTTCCAGCAGATAACAGGAAGGCAGAACCACTCACTGTAAAGTCTCTCTCTTATCTTTTTAAGCAGTTAAATATGCTGGTTTAGAAAATGTCCTTTGAAAATGAGTGTTAAGGTGAGTGCATTATAATCAGGGTTTATATGGGAATTATATATATAT